CATCAAGCCGGTTTCGTTCTTCGCCTCTCAGAAGCCAACCGCTCTCCCCGGCTGCCGGAGGCGAAGAAGCGGCTACTAGGTGCACCGCTGACGTGAACCGCACTTGTAGGCTGCAAAGCGCGGCTTCGGCAGAAAGACGCCGGCAACCGCCGCTTCCCTGCGGACAGCTGCGGAGAGCCGGAGTCTGCGTCTCTAGCGGACTGCATCATAGCGAAAAGCTTTTCCAGCGTGTCTCGCAGGGAGAGAGCTTGCCAGCACAGTGCACGCATCCCGCCCTTGCCCAGAAACATATATTTGCTGAACACTCCAAAAACACTGCTCTTTCCTAGGCAAGCTTCAAACTGCTGTCAGACATCTGTGCTCTCTGTTTTCTGCTGTCCTGCTCGTTGTAGAAGAGTGCACAGCTCACCCTGGCATTCAGTGCACAGCGAAGTCAATTGCAAAACACCAGCAGCTGCTCACTCCCAAACACAAGGCGCTGTCTATGTCCTTGCTTCCCGAGCAACTCAGCGCAGCCCTTCTTCTCCGCATTTTGGAAGCTCAGGGCACGAACAAGAATTATCCAGATTCGTCTGCATCAGGACCAAGTCAAAACGCAGGAAAGTCTTCCTGGAGCACCTGCCAGAAGCATGCCAGCGGTGAATTGAAAGCACTGGCAGCTGCAGCCACCGTCTTCTAGCAGTGCCAAGCTGACTCCACCGCATACTTGTGCTGCCCTGACAGTCCCAGAGGAGCCCTACAAACTGACATCAGGAACCAGGGCTGGTGAGTTTTCTTTCCCAGGGAAAATAGCCGATGTTTCTGCTCACGGTCCTGTGGCTCTGAGCCGGAAGCTGACTGCAAAAAATCCGAACATCGAAGGATAAGTCCCATACAGGAGCTGCCTCCACCTCATACTTCTGCTGCCCTGACAGTCCCAGGGGAGCCCTGCAAACTGACATCAGGAACCTGGAGTGGTGAGTTTTCTTTCATAGGGAAAACAGCCGATGTTTCTGCTCAGGGTCCTTTGGCCCGGAGCAGGCAGCTGATTGCAAAAAATCCGAACATCGAAGGATGGGCCCCATACAGTAGCAGCCTCCACCTCATACTTGTGCTGCCCTGAGAGTCCAAGAGGAGCCCTACAAACTGACATCAGGAACCTGGACTGGTGAGTTTTCTTTCCCAGGGAAAACAGCCGATGTTTTTGCTCAGGGCCCTGTGCCCCGAAGCGCGGAGCTGACTGCAAAAAATCCGAATATCGAAGGATGGGCCCCATAGAGAATCTGCCACCACCTTATATTTCTGCTGCCCTGACAGTCCCAGGGGAGCCTTACAAACTGCCATCAGGAACCGGGGCTGGTGAGTTTTTTTTCCCAGGGAAAAGAGCCGATGTTTCTGCTCACGGTCCTGTGGCCCTGAGGAGGCAGCTGATTGCAAAAAATCCAAACATCGAAGGATGGGCCCCATACAGAAGCTGCCTCCACCTCATACTTGTGCTGCCCTGACAGTCCCAGGGGAGCCCTACAAACTGACATCAGGAACCTGGAGTGGTGAATTTTCTTTCCCAGGGAAAACAGCCGATGTTTGTGCTCAGGGCCCTGTGGCTCTGAGCCGGCAGCTGACTGCAAAAAATCCGAACATCGAAGGATAAGTCCCAGACCGGAGCTGCCTCCACCTCATACTTGTGCTGCCCTGACAGTCCCAGAGGAGCCCTACAAACTGACATCAGGAACCTGGACTGGTGAGTTTTCTTTCCCAGGGAAAACAGCCGATGTTTTTGCTCAGGGCCCTGTGCCCCGAAGCGCGGAGCTGACTGCAAAAAATCCGAATATCGAAGGATGGGCCCCATAGAGAATCTGCCACCACCTTATATTTCTGCTGCCCTGACAGTCCCAGGGGAGCCTTACAAACTGCCATCAGGAACCGGGGCTGGTGAGTTTTTTTTCCCAGGGAAAAGAGCCGATGTTTCTGCTCACGGTCCTGTGGCCCTGAGCAGGCAGCTGATTGCAAAAAATCCAAACATCGAAGGATGGGCCCCATACAGAAGCTGCCTCCACCTCATACTTGTGCTGCCCTGACAGTCCCAGGGGAGCCCTGCAAACTGACATCAGGAACCTGGACTGGTGAGTTTTCTTTCCCAGGGAAAACAGCCGATGTTTGTGCTCAGGGCCCTGTGGCTCTGAGCCGGCAGCTGACTGCAAAAAATCCGAACATCGAAGGATAAGTCCCAGACCGGAGCTGCCTCCACCTCATACTTGTGCTGCCCTGACAGTCCCAGAGGAGCCCTACAAACTGACATCAGGAACCTGGACTGGTGAGTTTTCTTTCCCAGGGAAAACAACCAATGATTTTGCCCAGGGCCCTGTGGCTCTGAGCGGGCAGCTGACTGCAAAAAATCCGAACATCGAAGGATGGGCCCCATAGAGAATCTGCCACCAACTCATATTTCTGCTGCCCTGACAGTCCCAGGGGAGCTTTAAAAATTGCCATCAGGAACCGGGGCTGGTGAGTTTTCTTTCCCAGGGAAAACAGCCGATGTTTCTGCTCACGGTCCTGTGGCCCTGAGCAGGCAGCTGATTGCAAAAAATCCAAACATCGAAGGATGGGCCCCATACAGAAGCTGCCTCCACCTCATACTTGTGCTGCCCTGACAGTCCCAGAGGAGCCCTACAAACTGACATCAGGAACCTGGACTGGTGAATTTTCTTTCCCAGGGAAAACATTCGATGTTTATGCTCAGGGTCCTGTATCCCTGAGCAGGCAGCTGATTTCAAAAAATCCAAACATCTAAGGATGGGCCCCATACAGAAGCTGCCTCCACCTCATACTTGTGCTGCCCTGACAGTCCCCGAGGAGCCCTACAAACTGACATCAGGAACCTGGACTGGTGAGTTTTCTTTCCCAGGGAAAATAGCCGATGTTTCTGCTCAGGGCCCTGTGGCTCTGAGCCGGAAGCTGACTGCAAAAAATCCGAATATCGAAGGATAAGTCCCAGACCGGAGCTGATTCAACCTCATACATGTGCTGTTCTGACAGCCCCAGGGGAGCCCTACAAACTGACATCAGGAACCGGGGCTGGTGAGTTTTCTTTCCCAGGGAAAACAGCCAATGTTTCTGTTCACGGTCATGTGCCTCTGAGTAGGCAGCTGATTGCAAAAATTTAGAACATCGAAGGGTGGGCCCCATACAGAAGCCGCCTCCACCTCATACTTGTGCTGCCCTGACAGTCCCAGAGGAGCTCTACAAACTGACATCAGGAACCTGGACTGGTGAGTTTTCTTTCCCAGGGAAAACAACCAATGTTTTTGCCCAGGGCCCTGTATCCCTTAGCGAGGAGCTGACTGCAAAAAATCCGAATATTGAAGGATGGGCCCCTTAGAGAATCTGCCTCCACCTCATACTTGTGCTGCCCTGAGAGTCCAAGAGGAGCCCTACAAACTGACATCAGGAACCTGGACTGGTGAGTTTTCTTTCCCAGGGAAAACAGCCGATGTTTCTGCTCAGGGCCCTGTGGCTCTGAGCCGGCTGCTGATTGCAAAAAATCCGAACATCGAAGGATAAGTCCTGTACAGGAGCTTCCTCCACCTCATACTTGTGCTGCCCTGACAGTCCCAGGGAAGCCCTACAAACTGACATCATGAATCTGGACTGGTGAGTTTTCTTTCCCAGGGAAAACAGCCGATGTTTCTGCTCAGGGTCCTTTGGCCCGGAGCAGGCAGCTGATTGCAAAAAATCCGAACATCAAAGGATGGGCCCCATACAGAAGCTGCCTCCACCTCATACTTGTGCTGCCCTGACAGTTCCAGAGGAGCCCTACAAACTGACATCAGGAACCTGGACTGGGGAGTTTTCTTTCCCAGGGAAAACAGCCGATGTTTGTGCTCCGGGCCCTGTGCCCCTAAGCGCGGAGCTGACTGCAAAAAATCCGAATATCGAAGGATGGGCCCCATAGAGAATCTGCCTCCACCTCATACTTGTGCTGCCCTGACAGTCCCAGAGGAGCCCTACTAACTGACATCACGAACCTGGACTGGTGAGTTTTCTTTCCCAGGGAAAACAGCCGATGTTTCTGCTCAGGGTCCTGTGGCCCTGAGCAGGCAGTAGATTGCAAAAAATCCGAACATCGAAGGATGGGCCCCATACAGATGCAGTCTCCACCTCATACTTGTGCTGCCCTGACAGTCCCAGAGGAGCCCTACAAACTGACAAGTCTCCCTGCGCCAAGATACGGTCTGACCGCTCCGGCCGCTGCTCCTGTCCAGGCGTATCCCGTTACCCGAGTTAATTTTCACGGGTTTGGGCACCAAATATGTTGCTATGTAAAAGACAACTGGCGACCTGGTTCTAAGGAGGCAGCACGGCAGCCCGGTCTCGCCCAGGCTACTCGGACTAACGACACACGCTGGCACCAATGTGGCGGATGATCGAAAGCCTTTATTATCTCATCTCGTGGGTTTAAATAGTCTCGGGGGTTTTTGCTACGTCAGAGGGGGGTTGTGGGGTCTCAGGGGTTAGTCGGTAGTGGAAAACTACTGAGACAGGTGTGGTCACATGCTTCTGGGGTTAATAGATAACGTGGGGCAAGGAGAAAGGGGGAAGGGTCTCTCTTTCCGTCACATCCCGTGATCTTCCGTTCGCCTGTCCCTACTACTACACATTTTAGACTCATAGCAGGCTTGAAATGTAGTTTTCCCAGCATAATAATGGTCAGATAGAGACAGTAGGACACACACTGAGGGCAAAGCTTTAGAGGCATTTGCATTTTAGGGGGAGGGAACCCTAAGTTTAATGGAATCACAGACTGGTTTGTATTGGAAGAGACCCTAAATATGGTTTTACACATTTAAAGGGTTCCTTACTTTCTGTTTTGCTTCAGGGACCGAGTTGCCTCCCTAAGTTACCGTGTCCTGGATGGGCCAGACAAAGTCCCTGTAGTGAAAGTTGATGAGAGAGGATTCCTCGTCTCTGGGTCTGTGGTCGGATCCTCAACCATTGAAGTGATTTCACAGGAGTTGTTTGGCATCAACCAGACCATCATAGCTGCTGTTAAGGTACTGTCAGCTCCCTTCCTTTGCACTTTCCTCAAGTACATCTTCACTGCTCCAACAGGGATTGTTGGCTGCACTTCTTGAACTTCACTTCTGAAAAATGAGCAGTGTGGGAATTAACAGTTCTGAGCTTTGAACCGTGGGACACCAGGGAATGTAAGCCCATCATCTCTGTTCAAAAAATCCTTGAGCCAAGAACTTCCTGCATCTGGCAGCATGAGCCTTGAGATAGCCACTGCTCCCCTTCCTCCTATCCCTTTTTACTGTCAGCATCTTCCCTCTGTCCCAGCTAAAGGAGAAAAATGTACAATTGAGTGCTTTAAGTTATTTCTAAGTGTTTGCTGTTCCTGTAATCACTGTAAAGTGTCTTGGTGGATTTTTTTTTTCGAATTTTGAAATTTCCCAAATTCACCTCCAGCTCTGTTACTGATGACCTTGTTTCTTCCCTTTGGCAAGTGAAAAATGTCTGATGAGTTTGGGGTGGCTCAAACACCATTTAGTCAGCACGCAGTGGGACTGAAGTCAGATCCCCTGTGTGAGTTTGTCCTGTACCCAAGATGGTGATACAGAGCTCTCTGTAGTAGGACCCATCTCAGTTCAGCACCTTGTACAACTCATTTATTCTCCTGTACTTACTACAACTGTAGTGCCTTTATGGAAATGATATTTTGAACCTCATGAGGTAACACAATTCATTTTATGGCGGAAGAGCTGAGAGAGCTTGAGAGGTTTTGCTGAAGGTCATGTCAGAAAACTTGTGACAGAGCTGGAGATGAGCTTGAATCTGTTGTGTCATTCTGAGGCAAAGCTCTCTCCTTCACTTTGTCCTTCTTTCATAAGGTCTGGTGTTGTCTGTTTACAAGTGTACACAATTAAGAACCAAACTGCTGCAGCAGCATCACCTAACACTTAGACCTTGAACTTGGTCAAAGAAGGGCTCTTACATAAGCCAGGGAGGGTGGGTGAAGAAGGAGTGACAGTGAGCTTAGTGAGGGACCAAGCTCAGCACTTGCCTGGGCCTGCTGGGCTCAGTATTTTATTTTATTTTATTTATTTCTTGAATTAAAAAAAAAAAATACATCAAAATCTGAGATATTTTAACAGTAAAAGGCTGTTTTCATCAATATTAAATTTAGCAGTCGTCCCTTGTGGGACAGTTGCTGAGATTTTAAAGTAAAGCAAGCTTGATAATCTGTCAGGGAAATGGGGTTTTTGTTGGCTTGTAACCACGGCTTGTTGGGCAGAGATCTGTGTGCATGGAGATTTTAACTGATGAAACCAGCCCATGGCCACTTTTTTTTTTTTTTTTTTTTTTTTTTTTTTTTTTGGATTCACCAAAGATGTATTTTGCTTGAGGCCAAATTTGTCCTTTCCTTTTTATGTTCTGACATGTACATTTTCAGATTGCAAAATTTTACGTTTTAGCTGAGCCTCTTAGGTCAGGAAAATAAAGGGATTTTTCTACAAGATAAGCTTGAGGCCTTCTTTTAAAATAGTTTTTTCAATATAATTGAGGAGTTTTGCTTCCTCTGTCCATTATTTCTTTTCCAACAGCTGTAATAAAAAGAGAGATATAGTTATTTTTGTTGGGTAATTTTGCTCGTTAGCCTAGGTAAGTTAATCAAGAATAGTAATATGCAATTTAAACACCAAAAGAACAGGTTGTCAAGTCTTTGTCTTCAGAAAACCTTTCTTGCCTGGAGTGTTACTGCAGAAATGGGGGGCTGTGCACATAGGGTTAATGGAGCAGACTCTCCTGAGGAGTTCAGAGCAGTTCCCAACTTCTGCCTTGGCTGAGGAGAGGCACTGAGGGAACCAAGCTGAGCCTCTGAGCCCTCAGGGTTTGTCAGCTTCCAGCTCTGCCTGGAACAGCTTGGCTTTCTCACCTGCTGCAGGGGAGCTGGGCAACAGTGACCATTCCATCCCCTTACTCACACATACATTGTGAGCTACCCTTCTAATACCTGGGCAATTAATTGCACCTTTTATTTCAGGAATTATTAGGAGAGAGGTCATGGGGCCACTTCTTCACTTGCATATCCAGGGAATCTCAACAGTTTGAATTGATAGGATAGTAATGTGTTCTCTGAAGTCTGTGTGTGATGTATGTTTCTTCATGATTGTTTCTTGTTTCAGTTCCCAGTGGTACTAGAAAAAAGGGCTAAGAAATATCAGCTGTGAGGGTACAAAGCAGACAGAGCCAGGCTTTTCTCAGCCTGACAGGGCAAGGGGAACACAGAGGAAACACTGTCTGAACACGGGACAGCACTTTTTACTGGGGTGGCTGTTGAACACAGGCTTCAGGAGCTGTGGAGTCTCCATCGAGCAGATGCCCGAGCTGCCTGAACATGGTCCTGCCCAGCTGGCCCTGGGTAACCCAGCTTGAGAGGGGGCTGGACTAGGCAGTGTCACAGGCCCCTTTTAACCTGAAATGGAGATACTTACAACAGCAGCTTCATGTGTTAGTCCTGGCATATGGCAAAATGCAGGTGGCTCATAAAGGCAGCTCTGGATATTTACATAAAAATAACTTTCTTCAATTACTTTTACAGGGGCATCATAGAAAGCAATTGAACTTTCCTTCTCACTGTCGATGCTTTTCCAGGACTGCCCCATCTCCTACCTCAGGATCTCCATGAGGCCGGTTCTGCTGACCCAGAGCAAAGAGGCACTGCAGGCCCTGCCCCTGGGTGTGACACTGACGTTTACAGTCCATTTCCAGGACAACTCTGGAGATACTTTCCATTCACACAATGCTGTGCTCAACTTTGCCACCAACAGGTGGGTGTCTGTCACGGGTGGTGATTACACAGAGCAAGAAAAGGCCAGACATACATAAAACAAAAGTGGTTCCAGGAATACCAAGTGAACATACAGCTTGGGCTGGGATTAGCAAAGCAAGGGTTTTGTCTCTGCAGCCTTCAGAGGCAGTGGCGGGAAGGAGAGTTGCAGTTAGCAATCGGTATTCCCTAGCCATGGAAAGCTGCCCGGATAAGCGTGGTCCCAGTGGGACCTGCAGGAGTGGTGCTTTGCTCTGAGTGACTCTGAATCATCCCCCTGCACGCAGCAGTGGCCCAGAGAAACAATTGATCCATCAGCATCTGCCTCTCCCAGTGCTGTGTTCCACTGACTCACTGAGGGCTTACGTAAGGTGGGGAACGCTCTGGATCAGGGGCTGTCTCCTCAGATGGGCTTGTGCAACCTTCCCACAGCAGAGACAAGCCTCAAAAGGCTTTGGTCTCTGCCTCACAGAGTAAATGTTGTGAAGCAGCCTCCTGTGGTCTTCAGTAGAATACCACTAGTGCTGTTACTGAAACATGGTTTGTTTTCTGCAGAGCACCTTGCTGAATTTGGGTAGATACCAGAACTGGACATTACGTCTGGGAAGTTGCATTTTGGTGTTCAAATTTCTTGGCTTCCTAACACCCTTGAGAAAAGGAAAAAGAGGCAAATTATGTCATTCTAAAGCTCTACAATTCTCACAATTAAGTACTTTTCATGCATAATTGCGATCTCGGTATTTCCTCAGCATAGTGGTGAACTGAGAACTGTAATTTGCCTCAGTGACACCTGAATAATTTTTACAATTTCCTTACTTTGCTGGACTTCATCAGATGACTGTTCCTGAAAACAAGCAGTCAGCCAGCTGAAGAGTTTGACACCTCTCCTGTTGGAGAGACAATGCCATTCCCAAGCCTTCCCTCACACAGCAGCACTTGTGTTTGTGTGCAGGGATGACTTTGTGCGGATCGCCAAGGGAGCTGCCAACAACACCTTTGTGATCAGGACTGTCAGCGTGGGGCTGACCCTGCTCAGGGTGTGGGATGCAGAGCACAGGGGCACTGCAGACTACATCCCACTGCCTGTGCAACATGCCATCTTCCCAGAGCTCCCAGACGTGGTGGTGGGGGATGTCCTGTGCCTGAGGACCTTGCTGACAGCCCAGGAAGGTGAGTGGCCTCCAGCTGTGTGGGTTAGCAGCTATTCCGTGGGACACCAGTCTCAGCAAAGCTAAATGCATGATTTACCATGTTTGTTCAGAATCAAACGTCACTGTTCTTGTTAATGACTAAAATAGGTTTGATCAACTCCTCTAATTTTAATTGCACTATGCAATATGTCTCTTGTTTTGAATTCCTGAGCATCACACTTCAGATATTTCTATTCCATTAGCTGGAAAGGCTTGGTTCTGTGGGACTCCTGCAGCGTCAGGCCTGCCTTCACTCACTGTGTTTGATTGTTGGTATTAATGGGCTTGTGTCAGAATAACTGCTGAGCAGTGGCACTCTCAGACACCAGAGTGGTTCCTGGGCACTGGGGGATGTGTGCCCTGCCTGGCAGTGGCACTCTCAGACACCAGAGTGGTTCCTAGGCACTGGGGGATGTGTGCCCTGCCTGGCAGTGGCACTCTCAGACACCAGTGCCCAGGAGATGCTGCAGTTGGCATCAGGGTGTGAGCAGTGCCCCTGTGGTGTTTTCCAGGCCTGCCAGGCGTGTGGAGCTCCTCCTCAAGTGCTCTTCTTCTCGTGGATTCCAAGACTGGCGTGGCCCTGGCAAGGGACTCTGGGGTGGTCACTGTCTCTACTATGAGATCCCTGGGTTACTGAACTCCTACAGAGAGCTGAGGCACTGTTCTGTTACTGCTGAGATTGGTTTGGACCTAACCAAACTGTATTCTGTGGATGTTTTTTATTATAAATATTTAGAAATGTTCTTCTAGAAAGGCAGATGGTTGGGAAGTGTTTGGTATGTGGCCAAAACATCATGTTTTTTAAAACATCTTTTCTAAGGAGGAAAATGTAGCATAGCCATTTTGATTTTTTTCCTCTACTGTTCTTATATTGTATATTTTGATTCCGTTGTTGGCTAAGTTGCTTCCAGGTGCTAACCAACTTTTGAGTATGGCTGCTATTATGAATGAAACTTCACTGCAGGATTAGATGCCAACAAGAAGTTGCTCAAGTGTTGTGCCATGCATCACTGATCAGATTAAATGATTTTTTTTATCTCTATGCAGTCGTACTGTTGACACAATTCACTGCATCAGCCAGCATAAGCACTAGACATTCTTTTTAAATTAAATTTAGACATAAAGCTTTATGCATAATTACTTCTGGGGGTTGGGTAGGGAGACAAAATGTTTTTGCTAGCTTAAATTGCTTGGAAAGGCATTTTCCAATATTAGAGAAATCTGGGATTTCAAAGAAAAACATGGGTTTGTGGAGTCTTTTACAACTAATCCAGTCTGGTTTTGCCTTCATTTTTATTTGTTGAAACAGTTTTTGGTAACAATGTGTTTCATCCTTTTTTCAGATCTTGATTAATGTGCCTCAGGGGACCACAGCAATGCATGTCAGTGGTGTGCAGGCAAGCTTGCAGGGAGTGGCAGCTTCAAAAGTCATAGTTTCAATTGGGGAAACAAACAAAAATTTGAAAGGTATGATTAAAAAATATTTATGCTGTTGGTTTATTGTTTGTTTATTGATTCATGATGCTTTGGTTTGTGTTATGGGGTTTTTGTTAGTTGTTTAAGGGTAACAAGATCCCCAGGAACCTCAAATGCCTTTGTAGAGTCCCGGGAGCTCTAGGAGCCGTGGGATAGAATTTGGAAGGTGTTCTGGAGCACTGCTAATATTTCACAAGTAACAAAATCAGTAGATTTCAATAGAGATACCATTTTTGGTCATACAAGCGACAGTTAATGGGCAATCACCCAATTGCTTTTATGTTTAATTGCACTTGCCTTCTTGGGGTTGTTACATTTTCTTACTTAGTTGCCATGCTTAAATCTTTGACAGAACTTATCACCAGTTAGAATCAATGCAAACATTAAGCATCATAGTGTGTCCTCTATTTAATGTGCTGTATTTTGTGTGGTTATAGATCCTTTTAGCTTCTAGCTTAACAATCAGCACTTCTTCCAATAGTATTTTATTTTGCCATATGTAAGTTATTAGCCTACCAAAAAATCATCTCACCAGATACCAAAATCTAACTCAAGGCTCCCAGGATCATGTAAGTTATTCGAGAGACATGCGAGTAGAAGATTCTCTGCAGCTTATTCTTTCCTGTAAATAAATTATTCCTGTCAAGAAAACCCCACAACCTATGAAGTTTTCATTGCCGTCTCTTTGGGATTAGACCCTGAGCAAAGGCAGCTGTCTGTGATTTCCAGTGATTTTAAAATCCTCATAACCTTGTGAAACTATTTCAGAAGGTGGTAGAATAACTCAATGCTACAAGCCATGATTTTGCTTTTAATTAATTCAACTTAATCAGCTACAATTTTATTTTGTATTTAATTAGAGATGAATGTTTTTCCTTCCCCCTAGGGGAGTGTTCACCTGCTCAGATTGAAGCCATTGCTGAGTTGCAGCCCCAGTCCATTATCAGTTGCCATCTCGATTTCAACAGTGATGCCCTTGACTTCCCAGCACAGGAGATTTTTGTGGCAGAACCTGGATTTGATGCAGTTTCAGGTAAGAGATGACAAGATGCCATGCTGCAGACAAACACAAGCTCTTTGGTCCAGCAGATTCCACAGAATCCCAGCATCGTGGGTTGGGTTGGAGGGACCTCAAAGCCCATCCAGTGCCACCCCTGCCATGGCAGGGACACCTTCCACTGTCCCAGGCTGCTCCAAGCCCTGTCCAGCCTGGCCTTGGGCACTGCCAGGGATCCAGGGGCAGCCACAGCTGCTCTGGGCACCTGTGCCAGGGCCTGCCCACCCTCCCAGGGAAGGATTTCTTCTTAACATCCAATATCAACCTCCTCTCTTTCCTTCTGAAGCCTCAGGGCTTTGCTGTGTAGGAGCTCAGGCCCCAGTGAGTTGCTCACATGGACATTTCTTGTTTCAGTGGGTTTTCTGCCTGTGACAAAACCTTGTGTTGGTTTTCTGAGAAAGCTAGAAGTCAGAAGTGGTAGCCCACTTCATGTTTTGCAGAGTTTTTGTAGGAAGTACAAGACCATAAGGAAAGTGAAATAACAAAATATTTTGTGTGTAGAACTATGCAGGCAAATAGATTAATGGAATGCAAACCCAGTGCATGGCATAGAGTTTTGGTTTCACACAGTGTTAAAAACAAAAGGATTGTTACATGAAATTGTATTGAGTCTTGTCTAACTTAATAGCTAATTTTGGAGAAATTGTGCCCTAAGTTCTAGTACTACTAAAAAAGGTAAGTTTGGATGTAGATAATCATTTGAATCTATATTAATGCTTTTTACGACTTCTTTATTTTGAATTTTCTTGTGATATGGTTGTTCAGAGTCTAGCACTGGACTATATTATTTAAATCTGTATTATTTAATAAAGCTTTTAAAGATTACTTCATGTTGCTGTTGAAGAATTTTTTGCAGTTTGGCTGTTTATAATTTAGCATTGGGCTGTTGTTTGAACTTGACTTCCTACAGCCCCTCAGTGTTTGCAATCACAATTTTCCAATCTTAATTTACACTCTCTTGGCAATGTAATGTTTTTAAATACTTTGACAATTCTTCCAGTAGTATTTGTTGTCAGAGATATCTTCCAGTTTTCACGAAGCATCTTCAATTCCTGCTGAAATCAGTGATGACTGTAGAAGCAGCTGTTCGTTTTCTAGGTTTGTTCAAACTTCCCATTTTGTTCATTTGGGTTTTAAAAGAAAGATGTGGTCTTTTTTCCACTTGAATCACTTGAATTCAGCAAGAAACCAATGGGCTGTGACTATCTCAGTGCTCCTGTGATAAACTCTTCAGAAATGATTAAAGGAGAGATTTTGCTCTTCTGTTGTTTCTCTTTCCCATTCAGCAATCTGGCACCGAATGTTCTGAAAAACAAACTGCTCCACGTGGTGGGAGTACTTTGGCAAATGCTTGCTGCTTATTTCATTTCTTTAGGCAAGTAGTTGCAGTGTCCTGGTAAGAAAAAAAAAAAAAGGTATGAAGTAGGGAGCTGGTATGGCTCAGGAGCCAACCTCCTGCAAGCAACAGCCAGGCTTTGGCTCGAGGAGCTCACCTCACCTGTGGGGCCATTCCTGGGGCCGGGGGGATTTGGGGATATAAATTTTTCTCAGCAGGTTGCTGCCAATGTAAAGATTTTTTTAAATTTAATAAACTGAGATTTGCATTTAATGCTGATTTTCCTCCCCGTTCACTTACTGCTTGTTCCTGACTGTTTTCTCCCTGAGAGGGAGAAGGGCTGCTGGCAGTGTGTCTGTTCCAAAGTCCAGGCCTTATCTGAGTTGAAATGTCAGAGCTGTGCCAGGCTGACTCCTGCATCCAGAAAATCCTTGCCTGCCAACAGCAGATCAACAGGGGTGTCCCAAGGAATTACTCAATTAGATTAAGGTTAGCAAGGCTGGGTTAATACTGGTCTTCAAGCCAATCTGCTCCCTAATCAAACCTCCCAAACACAGCCCAATCTTTACTTCTCAATCTGCCCCCTTTAAAAAGCAAGGCAGATGATGAATGAAACATGGCACACACCTTTCAGCAAAGAGCTCTTTCTGATGGGCAGCCAAGATTATGGTGTGCTGCTTCAGGGGAAGGTTTTCCTGGCAGCATGTTAGCTGCCTTTTGCAGTTTATATGAAGGATTAAAGTTGTCCAGGTGAGAGTCCAGCCTTGGCTAACCCCTGCCTTGGCCTGCAGATAAAGGCATTCTTACCTTCTGTGTTTGGTGGTTGATTCTGGCACTCAGGAGCGCATGTCAGTTCATTCATGAACATCCTCTGGTGATTTCTTAGTAGAGGGCTCCCCAAGAAGCTTGAGGAGTTTCCCCATCCCAGTTTCCCCAGTTAGAGACACAGCTGTGTTAGGCTGTGTCTTGCTGTGTCCCAGGGATTGCAGCAGTCCTCCCCAAGGAACTTTCCTTGGAGCAGCCCTGGAGACAGATGGTGTTTGGGCAAGGTACATGCTCTCCACTTAATTGGTATTGTTTGTGTATTTAGCTTTATGATTCTGTGTTAAGTTAGTGTAGTATTGGTGATTTGATTAAAACCATTCCTTTTCAGCTGTTTCTTTGTATCAATTTCAAGTTTAAGGTTATAGCTGGCCTTAAACTCCAGCCTGTGTTCTCCACAGCAAAGCCCCTGTGCTCTCGTAGGAAAAGCATCAATTTCTAAGCTGTAAAAAAAGGCATTTAGCAAGTGATGGCTATCTGACATAAGGTCTTTGGTTGATACTAAATATTATTTATTTTATCGGCAACATTCAAAAACATCTGCTTTATTTTCAGTTTGAATAAAGCTGGGTTCACTTTTCATCTGTTAACTTCAATGAGACAACTTCTCTGTGTAAATTTGGCACACAGTTTCCCAGGACCTTCTCCTGAAGCTTGCAAAATTAAAACAAGAATAGGAAACGAATTTTTCTCCTTGATCCATACTTCTCACCGTTGCACTGAGCTGTAGCTGTACCACCAGTAAGCTGCTGTGCACATCTTTCCTCACACATCTGGCCCTCTCCATCTCCAGAGCAGTTTTTATCCCAGGTGCTGTGTTCACCTCTGCAGGTGGCCTCCACCAGAGCTGTGTGTGTTAATAAATTATTTCCTGCCATTTTTACCATCTTCACCCCTCAGCACAGCCTGGTGCTGCTGTGCTGTGTGTGCTGCCTCCCTCCCAGTGCTTTGCCAGAATCCCCAAACAGACTGGGAGCTGCAGTTGCTGTTTTCCAGTTTTCCACAGAGCAGGCGTTGTGTACGTTTGTTATTCGCTCAGACATTCATTCTTCCCTTCTCACTTCTTACTTGCCACGTTGTGTTTTAAAGTGCTGTTCCCATTCTGCTCAGTTCAAAGCTTTATCCCAGGCCTTACTTTTGCATTTAGCATAAATAAATTTATTTAAAGCTGTTGTGCTTATGGATATGCCAAGGTCTCTTTTGTGACCTTTTGTTCATTTTTTAAATTTCATTTTCAAGTAAGCCAATTGCCAGCTAGGGACATCCTTTCACACTCTGGGTGGAAAAGCACCACAAAACTTCACTGGAGAGTCAGACCAGAAATCCCTACAATGGAGAACCTGAGGCTGCCTGTGCCAAGGGCAGCCCTAATAAATAATTTTAGGCCAGCATGTGCTTATGGCTTACAGTGACCATCTGTAAATCAAACAAAAGGAGTATTGTCTAGATAAAATCTGGTGATTGAAATTCAGTTTACTGATCAACAAGCGTGGAAGTTCTGGAACTAGTTTTAAATAATTGTTCTATTTCACATGTATTCATCTGTGAGAGAGACAAGAGGTGGGAGATGATTTTGTCTTTTGTGGCATATGCTTTACTTAGAAAATAAAGTTCTGAGACTCTCTTAAGTAGTAGGAAGCTGCCCTTAGTAACAAAATAGTGAAAATTGTCATATTTTATCCAAAAGGAAGGGGAAAAAATAATTTTCCAAAGTAATAGCTTGTAATTTGACAGCATGAATCATTTGTGTTATTATGAGTGAGTCATAAATAGAAGAGGCACCAAAAGAATTATTTTTCAAAATGTACAAAGATAACAAAGAAAGGAAGTCTCCTAAAATGTTGCTAAGAAGGCACCAGGCCATTAAACAGGCCAAGCTTATTTGAAATACTAACTCACCAAAAGTGCTTCTTTTAATTTTTTTTTTTTTTTTTTTTAATAATAGAAGAGGCTGCTTTCAATTATCTTTTTCTATAAAAGCCAATTACCCTGTCTTTAGTGGAAGCTGGGTCAAAGCCCTCCCTAGAAGTATTAAGAATCCTGGAGTTTCAGTATTATGATCCAGCCTTTACCAGCTCCTGAACTCTTCTGCCACACACAGTTGGTCAAGTCACCAAACACAGCCAATAAAGCCGATGTGCCCACTGTACTTTGTCATTGCTCCTATGCATTTTTATCTTTCCAAACATTCTTTCCTCATGCCTGACTAGTCATCTTTGGATCTGAAGCTGTGGCCATGTCCTGGTGGATATTTGGTTTGTTCATTTGCTAAATTAATATTTCATTTCATGCTGGGTTAAGACTGGCCAATAGAAATAAATAGCTTTTGATTATAGCACAATTAAGGAGCTCTTGTGAAGAAAAAAGAACTCTCTTGTCCTGAGACTCTGACCCCAGCTGGTGCATTCTCTCTGCCAGCTGGTTCTTGCATGGAAGGAAAATTAATAAAATTGCAAATCAAAGAAGTATTTTCAGCAAATACGCAACAAACATTGAAGGCTAAACATCCTCCTTGCAATGCCAGAAGGATTCCAAATAAGCAGCTGAACTGAAGGATTATTTTGATAGTGTTATAGAAATACTGGTCTACTGGAAATGTTTAAAGGTCAGCTAGAGTGTTTTGTGGGGTTTTGTTGCTGTTACTGAGTTTTTTTTTGGTGCCTGCTCCTTAGTTCTGGGCATGCTGCTTTCATAAGACCTCACTGACAGGCTGGGCTCTCAGAATCTGTGTTACACAGTTTATCATCACCATTGCTACAGTTTCCATATTCCTCCCCTACTACAAAAAATGTGACCTTTGTCACATTACACTTTGTGTAATTTTTTTTTTTTTTTCATCTATGAATTGAGATAATTGAAGAAGTAGACAGTAGTTGCTACCACTCTCAAATGATTTCATTAAATTATTAACAATGTGCTCAGAGCTGTCTTGGGGGTGCTGGGAGAGCAGAATGTAGTTTAGGCATAAAACAGAATGTAGTTCAGGCAGAATGTAATTTAGGCATAAAACATGATACAGTAGTTTCATTTTAGTTCCAGCTTTACTGAATGTGCTTCTGAAAGCAGACAGGTACAGATCACACTTCTGTCTGATTTTTAGATTTAGGGTTACAGTGACAGTGCAAAATGTCAGAATTATGAGTAAGTTAAAAAGCAGTGCTGCGCTGTAAGGTCACAGAACCCTGTTAGTGTTCACTCCATGATCTGACTTAGCAAATCACAGCTTCATATTCTCAGCAGTGATGGCAGAAATCACTCCCTCTGCTTCATAATATTCTCTCCTTTTATCCTGACTTTCAGTTGCTGTTTCGAAAAGGTCTGAAATGCTTTGTGTCCTTGACCCAAGTGACTGACCAGCCTGCAGGGCTGGGAGAGCTGGGTACAAGTGTAAAAACACCTTCAATGCAGTGACTTACCAAACAGTAGAATTGACATAAGAGGAGCTATTGTTTCATGGAACACAGTAAAAGCAGGGTGGAAATACATCAGGTGTTTTCAAAGTCGTGTTTCCCAAGGGGAATCCTGTTCCAGCAGTGAATCACAGAAGTAGGTGGTGTAGAAAGCACTGGACAGTGAAGTTTCCCTCCTTAACAGAGGAGGGCAGGGAAAGGCAGCCTGCTTGTACATTTGGAAATTACCCTAGGCCCCAGTTCTGGGTTTAACTGTGGAATGTTTGATATTGGTGAACTTTAGATACGTGACTTAGATAAAAATTATATTCACAGAATCCCAGAATATCCTGACTTGAAGGGACCCCCAAGGATCACCCAGTCCAGCCCTGGCCCTGCACAGACACCCTAACAATCCCACCCTGGACATCCCTGGCAGTGTTGTTCCTGCAGCTCTGGCAGCCTCGGGGCCGTGCCCATTCCCTGGGCAGTGCCAGCACCCTCTGGGGAAGAATGGAAGGACTTTTTCCTGATCTCCAGCCTGAGCCTGCCCTGGCACAGCTCCAGCTGTTCCATGGGTGCTGTCCCTGGCAAGAGAGCAGAGACCAGTGCTTGCCCCAATCTGCTTAAGGAAGCCCTTGGAGTGAGCTGCTGTTAGTTGTTGTGATTAAGCACAAGACTCCGGTGGGAAAAGAGCCTCTGAAGCAGACTGGGTGTCTTAGGGTGCCTTAGTTCTGCCCAGAGTAAAGATCACCAATTAAATGCAATTTATTTTTTATTGCATAAGTGCAACAAAATTTCCAGACCTGTAAAACTACTTTCAAAAATATGGAGATATTGTGGAAAAAGGGAAGAAAAATTTGGGGATTTCTCTCTTCAAAAAATATTTCTAAATATGTCTAAAAATGAAAAGCAAAGACAAAATGGGGTCTCTTTTCCAGGATTCTAAAACTACTTTCTAAAATCCTTAACTACTATAACAATTGCAAAGAACTATTTGGGAATGTCTCTCTACAGAAAATATATTTTGAAATATTTCTAAAAATGTCTAATTTCTAAAAATTAAAAACAAACACCAAATGGGGTTGCTTTCTCTCAGGAGCCCCATGCTGCTGCCTGCCCCATGGGCTCCCCCAGCCCCTTGGGGCCCCACCGCTGGTCACAGCAGCCCCTGCCTGGCTCCTGCCTGCCCACACTGTGGGCATCCACAGCTGCTCCTGGCCATGGAACTCAGCCAGTGCTGGTGCTGGGTGGGCTTTGCTGGTGGAACCACCCGGACACTGGGGTGACAGCTCCTTCTCTTTATGGCAACAGAAGGGCTGATTTGGCAAGCTCTCAGTGAAAGTTCAATTGAGCGCTTCTAAATCCTTTCTTGGGCCTTTCACCTTATGCCCTGGATGGTGGTCTGGGCCTGTGGCCTCAAAGCACCAAAGGGCTTGAAGGTTCAATTAAAATGCAATCAGTGTCAAAGCTGCTGTTCTTGATTCTCCAACCACAGAGGTCTCGGTACCAGCCACAAGCTTTCAGCTTTTCTTCAAGGTCGTGCCTGTGGAGAGAGGAGTGGCTGAGGCCCCCAGCTGCCAGTGGCACACAGGGACCCTCCTGCACAGCAGGGCCCAGAGCTGGCAAGGCTCCCCAGCACGGCTGGAGCGGCTGGCACACCTTGGCCCAGCTGGACAGCTGCTCCTCAAGGACCCGGCGAGCAGGGGATGGCTCTGGGCAGGCTCCCTGGCCAGGAGTGGGCCCCAGAGAGCCTCTGCCTGTCAGGGGCAATCTCATCCTTGCTCTTTCTCCTCCCCACCTTGCTGTGCCTCTGCCCTGTGCCCCTGGGGCTGCTCTTGGCCAGGCAGCCTCAGTGGGAGCCAGCACTGGCTGCAGCCCCAGCGGGCCCCCAGGACAAGGCCCAGCAATGAAGGGGCCAAGGAAAGCACTGGGCACAGCAGAGCCCTGAGCCGAGTTCTTTGGACAGCCATGGACTGGCCACAGCTCCACTGCAGCCTCACTGGGAATCTTCCCTGACTACCAGCAACCTTTAAAGGAAGCTTTTTGAGGCTAAGATCAGCAAAACACTCACCATTTTCTTTTCCAGCAATACCAGATTCCGACGGAGCACATCATCAGGCCAAGTGCTGCACCAGCCACAATGGCCATCATCTTCATCAAACAAGATGTTCCCCAGCAGAAATCTCTTCTCATGCTTTTCCGGATTTTGTCAGCATGTGTTGAGGTGCCAGCTACATCTTGGGAGAAATGGGGAGCATGAGCCATTGCTATTTTCCACTCCTGAGCTGGCAGCAGGGGGGATAGGGCCAGGACGTTCTCGCTCTCTGTTTCCCTCAGAGCTGGGGCCTGCAGGCACCTTGCTGCCCCTTGGCACAGGACTGCTCAGTGCCCAAAGCCCTGAGCCTGCATGCCGTAATTGCTCTGTGCTGTACTGTTTTGCCCCCAGCAATGCTTGTCAAAGAGGTGGATAAAGACATGGAAAATACCCAGAGTTTTGGAGCTGCTCCAAAACTCCACCTTCCAGCAAACAGCTGCCTCTCTGCATCTCCCTAGAGAGTGGGAAATTGCAGGGGATCTCAGGCCCATGGTGCAGTTTGGGCTCCCTGTCAGCTGGTGCCAAATGCCTTCCTGCAGAGGCTGGGGAGAAGCTGCAGCCAGGCCAGGCTGGGAAAAAGCCCTGCAGGCCATAAGAGCAGCAGTGGGGCAGTGAGGCTGCCATGGATCCCTTCCTGCTGTGCCAGGCAGGGCCTGTCCAGTTGTGCAGGGAAAGGCCCCGGCTGCTGAGTCTCAGGGGAAGGCAAAGGAAAATGCACCCACCATACTGTCTCTCCAGATCACTCAGGATTTGTTCCCAATGTTTGGATTCTTCCTGGGATTTACTACTTCCTATATGTTTGCTCTTCCTTCTCAGGGGACCTTAAGAGAAACATTTCCATTTCCCAGGAATGGATCCCACAAAACCAGGGCTCAGCCTGTGGGCTCAGCAGGGACACACTACTCACCCCTGCGATGGAAGCTGGGCTTGCGAGCAACATCCACCAAAGGACCTGGGAAAGTTCCCCCTGCAGCCACACCTGAAACTCAACAGCCACAGAAGCTTCTGCCATCTCTGCAGATCTGCACGGGCAGCACTGAGCCCCAGGAGCGGTGAGGGGATGGCCCAGGGCGAGGGCACACTCGTGCATGGTTCTGTCCTGGCATCTGCAGCGATGCCCCCCTGGCCAAGCTTTGGGCTCTGAGCTGGCAGCTCTCGCAGGGGGAAAGGCCTTGACCTACCCTCAGCATCTCCCAGATGCTCAGTGACGGGTATGGGTTGGGATTCCAGATCCTCTTCATCCTCAGGTTTAGCTGCAAAGAAAGGCAGGACAGAACAGCTCCTGTGAAACTGCTGAAGATTCTCCTTCAGGCTGCAGTGGCAGTGAGTGCCCCTGGGCAATTGGTGCCCTCCAAGGCACTCCCTCAGCTCTGCCTTCCACTCAGGAGAAGGGGCAGGGGGACCACGAGCCTGCGGTGGCCCCACACCGGGATGGAAGGAGCCCCTTGCGGGGCAGTCGGGGCAGAAAGGACTCCCTGGAGCTGCCAGCAGCTCTAAACCCAGCCCCAGACAGGGCCAGGGCTTGGCAGTGGCAGCAGGGGCAGCTCAGGCTCCCTGGGGCAGGCAAAGGAGTTGTGAAAGGCTCAGCCCCAGGGCCCAACCCTGGGCCCAGCCCCTTCCCTCTCTGCTCTTCTCTGGGGCTGCACAGAGCACAAGGAAGGACACTCTGGCATTGCACATGGGAGGAAGATGGACAGGCAAATGCTCCTTCTTCCCACTGACACGGACCCTCCTGTAGGATCGCTTTTGGGCACAGGAGTAGGAATTTGGAGGACAGGATTTCCAGAATCCATCAAACTTCAAAAGATCTTAAAGGAAATCACACATAAATATTCCTCTGGACAATGATTTCTCTGTTAGGAAAGGGTTGCTGATAACCTACCTTCACCAGACTCCAAGATCCTTAAACCATGGTTTACCAGTTTTTCCAAATGATGCAAGTCACGGTCCCAGTCTAGAAAGGAGTACAGATGGGAAATGTTCCATGGTGTGCTGGGATCCCCCTTCTATGGGGAAGTGAGCACTGCAAGGGGCTCAGGTAATGCTGTGTGCCCGCACTGCCAAGCAGCAGAGAGGGCAGCTCAAGGCTCAGCAGGGCTCAGGCCCAGAGGCACAGCAATTACCTCCTGTGACTGTGCCTGGCAGCGCCTCCCTTCCTGCAGCAGAGGCTGCCAATGAGCCACTGCTTCCTCTGGGAAACTCAGCCTTCAGCACAGCCTCTCCATCCATCTCTGGAGAAAGGAAAAGGGGCAGCTGGATCAGGTGGGGCTGTTCCCCAGCGGGAACGTGGCATCTTCAGTAGGCAAAGCTTGTCTAAGTCATGGATGAGATTCAGGATAAAGACCAGGTTATTGGGGCTGCTCCAGGGCCCACCCTCCTCCAAACAGCTGCCCCTCCAGATGTGCTCAGTGACTGGGAAATTGCAGGGGACATCAGAGTGTGCATGGCCCATGGTGCAGTTGGGGTTCCCTGTCAGCTGGTGCAAAATGCCTTCCTGCAGAAGCTGGGGACAAGCTGCAGCCAGGCCAGGCTGGGAAACAGCCCTTGCAGGCCAGGAGAGCAGCAGCGGGGCAGCGAGGCTGCCATGGATCCCTTCCCACTGTGCCGGGCAGGGCCTGTCCAGATGTGCAGGGAAAGGCCCCGGCTGCTGAGTCCCAGGGGAAGGCTGAGGGAAATGCACCCACCACGGTGTCTCTCCAGATCACTCAGCATCTTCTCCATGTGTTCGGATGTCTCTAGAGCCTTACTGTTTCCTGCAGGTTTGTTGCTCCCTCTTGGAGGACCTTAAGAGGAGTATTGCATTTCAGATGGATGGATCCCATAAAACCATGGCTCAGCCTGTGGGGTCAGCAGGGACACACCACTCACCCCTGTGATGGGAGCCGGGCTTGTGTTTAGCAACCAGGAAAGGCGCCTGAAAAGTCCTCCCTGCAGACACACCTGCAACTCAACAGCCACAGGAGCTCCTGTCAGCTGGTTCCTTCCAGGTTGTCAGTGATTATTCTTTTAGGAACATTGACAGTATACCTGCACGAGACTTAAGAGGCTGGAAATCTTCATGGAGCCAAGCTGATGGAAAAGCCGTCCTAGCATGCTCATCTAGAAGGGAGCACTAATGAGAACCAGTTCCTGGTGTGCTGGGATCCCCATCTGCCTGTGGGAACTGGGCACTGCAAGGGGGTCGGGCAAGGCCATGGGAGCCAGATGTGAAAGGACAAGGCCAAAGCTGCACAGGGGCCTGGCGAGCTCTGCTCTGTCTCTTGGCCAGTCTCCACACTTTTGGTAGGCCCTGTGCAACATCCCTGGGAGGGCAGCTGGAGCAGTCCAGGGGCCACGGGACTTCACTCCCTCCCACAGAGGAAATCCTCCCTAAAGCCCATGGGAAAACCATCCCCAGCGCTTCCCGGGGAGCAGGGAGCGCTGTCCCGGGAAAGGGCAGCCAGGCTGATGGCTCACCTGCTCCCCACACTTGCAGCGGAGCAGCCTGGGCAGCCCTGGCAGGCAGGGCCACGGCCAGGAGGAGCAGGAGGAGGAGGCGCAGAGCAAGGGCCATGTTGCCTTGCCCTGTGCCAGTCCCGCCGCTCTTGCTGCCACCACTGTCCCAATGTCAGCACCACTGCTGCTACTGCCGCTGATGCCGCAACAGTTGTGCTCAAGGACTGCCTGCTCGGGCGTTGTGGTGCTCTGGAACCACGGGGCTCTGGGACCTCTGTGACCTCAGAGCCTGCTCTGACCTCAGCCTGCTGTGACCCTAGAGCCTGCTGTGACCTCATGGCCCTACCTGTACCCCCAGAGTGTACCCCCTTGTGTACAAATGGACTTGCCTGACTGTAAATGTTTTGCTTCATCAAAGGGCCATTGCTCAGTAAAACCTTTGTTTTGTCTGCTGACATTGCTGCCCAGGTTGAGTGCTGGGAGCTGCTCAGAATTCCTAGAATTCATACAGAATTCACAGAATGACCAGGTGGGATGAGACCTTCAAGATCATCAAGTCCAAGCTATGTCCCAATACCTGAACTAAAGGATGGCACTGAGTGCCACATCCAGTTTTTTTTTTAAACACATCCAGGGGCAGTGACTCCACCACCTCCCTGGGCAGGCCATGCCAGTACATTATCACTCTTTCTGTGGAAAACCTTTTCCTAAAATCCAGCCAATATTTCCCTTGGTGCTGCTTGAGACTCTGTCCTCTGGTTCTGTCAGTGCTGCCTGGAGAAAGAGCCCAACCCCACCTGAGCACAGCCACCTTTCAGGAAGTTTTAGAGTGATAAGGTCACCCCTGAGTCTCCTTTTCTCCAGGCTAAACACCCCCAGCTCCCTCAGTTGTTCCTCACAGAGTTTGTGTTCCCAGGCCCTCTCCAGCCTCGTTGCCTCCTTTGGATGTGCTCGAGCATCTCAATGTCCTTCCCAAACTGAGGGCCCAGAACCGGACACAGCACACGAGGTGTGGCCTCACCAGTTCTGAGTGCAGAGGGAGAATGACCTCCCTGCTCCTGCTGGCCACACCATTCCGGATACAGGCCAGGAGCCATTGGCCTTCTTGGCCACCAGGGCACACTGCTGACTCATGTTCAGCCGGTTGTTGACCAGTGCCTCCAGGTCCCTTTCTGCCTGGGCACTGTCCAGTCATACCGTCCCCAGCCTATAATGCTGCAGGGCGTTATTGTTGCCAAAATGCAGGACTGGGCACTTGGACTCACTAAACTTCATCCTATTGGACTCTGCCCATCCATCCAACTGTTCCAGGTCTCCCTGCAGAGCCCTCCTACCTTCCAACAGATCGACACACACTCCCAGCTTAGTGTCTTCTGCAGATTTATTAACAAAAGGCTCAATCCCCTCATCCATGTGGTCAATAAAAATATGGAACAGACCTGGCCCTAGCACAGAGCCCTGAGGGACACCACTGGTGCCTGTCCCCAGCTGGATGCAGCACCGCTCACCACCACTCTCTGGGCCGGCCATCCAGCCAGTTCTGAACCCAGCACAGAGTGCTCCTGTCCAAGCTGTGGGCTGCAGCTTTTCCAGGAGTGTGCTGTGGGAGACAGTGCCAAAAGCCTTGCTGGAGTCCAAACAGACACACCCACAGCCTTTCCTGCATCCACCAGGAGAGTCACCTAGTCATAAAAGAAGATCAGGTTGGTCAGACACAACCTACCCCCAGGATCCTCCTTCCCACCCTTTTTGTGAATGGGTTCACATTGGCCAACTTCCAGTCATCTGGAACCTCACCAGGGAGCCAGGGCTGCTGCTAAATGACGGAGAGCGTCTCTGCAGGCTCATCTGCCAGCTCCCTCATCACCCTGGGGTGGATTCCATCTGTTCCCATGGATTTATGAAAATCCAAACAGCTCAGCAGTTCTTTGACTGCCTCCTCTTGGATAACAGGGGGCCCGTTCTGCTCCCTGACACCATCAACCAACCCAGGAGGACACTTGTCCTGAGGACAAGGCATTCCCACTAAAGACTGATGCAAAGGCGTTAAGCATCTCTGCCATCTCCTCATCTGCAGTTACTAAGTTCTCTCCCACATCTAATAAAGAACAAAGATTGGTCTTACCCTTCCTGTTACCATTGATATATTTGTAAAAACATTTTTTATTATCATTTACAGAAGTCATAATTTTAAGTCCAAACTGAGTTTTGGCCTCCCTAATTTTTTTCCTACGTGCTCTAGCAGCCCCCTTAAATACTTCCTGAGAGACATGACCTTCCTTCCAAAGATGATACATCCTCTTTTTATTCCCAAATTCCTCCAAAACCTCCTTGCCCATCCAGGCTGGGTGTTTGCCTCATCAACTCATCTTTCGGCACTCATGGACAGTCTGCTCCTGTGCCCTCAAGATCTCTGTTTTGAAGCACGCCCACTTTTCCTGGACTCCTTTGTTTTTAAGGGTTGCTTCCCAAGGAACTCTCTGAATAAGTCTCCTAAACAGGCCAAAGTCTGCCCTCTGTAAGTCCAATGTAAAAGTCTTGTTGATGTTCCTTTTGATTTCACAAAATGTCAAGAATTCCTGCTATGTTGGTGTTCCCATGTCTGAGACGTAAGACAGACCACTCATGTTTCCTCAGAAAAACAGCCTCATTAATTGCCTGGAGCTTTCTTTTATAGCCCATTCAACTTCCAGGTCGAGACAGTTCATTGGTCTACCTGTGTGCCCCAAGACTCTGAACCAATACAATGTCTGCATCCCAGGAGAGCTCCCACTGACTGTGAGCTTCTGTCAGGCAAACACAGAGGCTGGTACATGGAGCTGAGTTGGACTGCTTATTGTAACTTGATTAATGCTAACTACAGATCAACTTGCAATGCAACAAATTCTATAATTTCATGATCATTGTGGCCCAAGCAGCCTCCAACCAACACATCTCCCCCCAGTCCATCTCTATTTGCAAACAGCAGATCTAACATAGTCCTTCCCCTGGTGGGCTCACCCACCAGCTGCAACAGTTGTCCTCCACACACTCTACAAATTTCCTGGGCTGCTTTTTTTCTGCTGTATTAAGTTCCCATCAGATGTCTGGCAGGTTGAAGTTTCCTACATGAGCAAGGGCTGATGATCCTGAAACATTCTCTAGCTGCTTATGGAATGAGTTGTCCACCCCTTCTTCCTGGCTGGGTGGATGATAACAGACTCCCAGCAGGATGTCAGCCTTGTTGACCTTCCCCCTAATTCTTACCATAGGCATTCAACATTCTATCATTGGTTCCAATACCCACGGTGTCCAAAGCCTCCCTAATATAAAGGGCCACCCCTCCAGCTCTTCTCCCTTTCGTGTCTCTTCTGAAGAGCTTGTAGCCATCCAGTGCAGTGCTCCAGCCACGTGAGCCATCCCACCACGTTTCTGTGATGGCAATGACATCTTAGCTCTGCTGCTGCACCATGGCCTTCAGTTCTTCTTGTTTGTTGCCCATGCTGAAAATGGTTAAAAGTATACTTAGACTACCAGAAAAACAATAAATCTCAGATTTCAGGACATTTTTGTTTCTGATGGCCTCCTGCACCTTTCCCATTTACCATTGCTTCACAGGTGTTGGACTTGATGGAAGTAGGGCTGGGGAGGGAAAAGCAGTTTTATGTTCTAAAGATATCACAGAATCCCAGACTGGTTTGGGTTTGAAGGGACCTTAAAGGTCACCTCCTTCCAACCCCCTGCCATGGACTGGGATGTCAGTCACTAGATCAGCTTGCTCAGGGCCTCATGCAGCCTGATATTGACCTCTGATAACCAGGAGCAGGGACTTTCTGCTACCAGCAGCACAATCATCACTTGCAATGACTTGGAACACCTCTGCTGCCCCAAGAGAGGCCCAGGGCTCAAGAAATGAGGTGTGGCCTGTGGGGAGAACCAACATGACACAAAACGTACTCAGCATGTTTCCAAATCCATTACTGCTTTTCACTATTTTCTTGTTTCTGTGCTAGTTTTAGATTCATAAATTGCACTCTAACAATGCCTCGAGAGATGTCCTGGCAGAATTTCAGTCTCGGTGTTCACCTGAGCACAGCTGAGAAAGCAATGTGAACCAGTACTAAAGAACCTGGAGTTATTCCAAGCTTTGGAGTTTCCTAAGCTCAGAACTATTTAGGAACTCCTTCAAAGGCCTTCAGCTAAAATTCCTCACTGGTGCCATGAAGTGTTCACAAGTTTAGATAGGGATGTCTTGTGATAACCAGATGGGACTTTTTACTTATTCTTAACTATGACGACACAATTCAGGCACAAATTATCAGATAACTGACTTTATTTATTGACTTTATTAATATTGATTCAGAAGTAGATGTAATGGTCACAGAAATTAGAGGGAAGAGACAGGATTCTGCCACAGTGCTTGCTCTGCTTTGTGCCCAGGACACTCTTCAGGAAGCCAGGGATCTGTGAAGCGAAGGTAAAACCCAGCAGCAAGAATAGGAAGTGCCAAGGAGCCCACAGCTCTGAGTAGCTACAGCAGGATTTTGGGGTGTTCTGGTGTGTGGCCAGAGAAGCTGTCAGAAACCACCCACAATCTGGTTGTGACACGGATTCCTGCATCACACTCCCACATGTGATTTGTGTTTATTTTCCTGAGAACAAGATAACATTTCATAGTTGTATTGCAATAAAAATTCCTACTGGTGAAGAACCATGAGATATGCATATATTTATACATAAAATAGTAGAGGTGGTATCAAGAAATACTTGCTTTTTAGAAAGCTTGTCAGCTAGGGATCCTTCATAAATTTCAGATAAAGCTGATCCCTTCTGTTTTCCTCACCATCTTCCATATGACTAATAAATGCAATCAAAACAAAAGAAAAACATGTTTTTCAAGCATGTCAGGAAAACTCCTCTCAATGTGTAAGGAGCAGCTCATTTGTTGTTTTTATTCCACAGGCAGATATTTTGACAAAGAGGTTCTGGTCACACAGCAGTACAAAACCTCTCTCATTTCTTAGGCTAGTAGGCTGCTCATCAGCTGAAGGATGCCAATGACCAGCAATTACCATCCTTCTCATTTAGGAACCCTGATTACACCTTCTAACACCTTCTTGTGTTAGTGCTGCCTTAAAGTTAGTTTATACCATCTTGATTCAGGGTGTGAGGTGATTTAAAGCAGCAGCAGGGAGCAGAGACTTTTCTTACTTCTCTCAGTACCTAAAAAGTCACCAAAATAACAGGTGCAAGCAATTCCTCTCCCTGCCTGCTCACTTGCTGAGTGTTCCAGGCTTCCATTTTTGCTTCCTCAGTCTTCCATTCTAATCAGTAAAATTCAGGAGAGTGTTTATTGCTCTCTCAAGTTTAATT